GAATGCCACAATTCCAACCCCATTCCAGTTGGAATCCCACAGAGAAGAAAAAAAAGAAGAAAAATCGGAGTAAAAGGGAGAGTTATAATACTATAGGCTTAACTTTTTTAGTATGGTAATGCCATTTATGTTAGAAACTACTTAAAGACTTTCTCTGAAGAATGAGTCCAGAATTCCATGTGTTTAGCCATGAATACAGATCAGACCCCTTTTGTCCACCAAACTCCAGAATTCTTTAGTTTACAAAAAGACCTGAAGTGCTCTAAACCCAATACAAAGGATTTTGAAAGATAAAGTTTTAAAACAATCAGAATGCTTCTGGAGATTTCCAGCGACATGATGGAAAGAGACCTTAAAGGTCATCTTGCCCATATTCTATCACCATGGAGAAATTTCTTCAATACTATTAACAGATGATTATTTAGCTTCCGCATGTACCTTTACCTGCAAAGCCTGATGATTCCCACTGTCAAATAAACGTGTTAGAGTTAGCCTATACAGAATTACCAGCGAGTATATAATGCACTTTCTTGGATATGACTCCATCCCCTGGAATAAAACCCTATTTCATATTATAACCCTTTAAGCAGCTAAAGACTTCTATCACCTCTCTCTTTTCACAGGAAAACCGGTAACAAAACACAAACTGCTTGACATCTTACTGTTCCTTTTACAACGCCACACAGGCAATGAAGGCAACATGTTTGCAAACATGAGTTATTCTGAGGTGGCATTTTAGGGGTAACTGTACACTGGACTGGGCTTTCGGATATTTCCTTCCTAGAGAGTGGCTTGCAAACCAGGGAGAGTACTTTAGAAGTTGCTGAGGTACAGAAAGTCGATGGCTTAAGTGGATCCCAAGCCAGTAAGGCTTTGAGTTCAAGAAAAATGCTATTCTTTCTTTCAGGCAGACTCGGAGAATCAACCTGAGAGGGGCACAAACACATTAAGAGAAGGTATGCATCTCTACCAAAATGAAGTGGCCACTGGTGTGTGTGGGGGTTGGGGGATGCTTCTCTCCACATCTCGGTTTGCATCCCTGATTAAATTAGCATTAGGCAGACAATACACTGCTAGGAAAAAACACTACTGAGTCACTAATTCTGATTCAGAGGGTTAAAACACTGCTGGGTCGAAAACATATGCATTCACGAAAAGTTTCTTTGCCTAGGATTAGAATTTATTAATATGTATATATACTTAAGACCAGAGATAGGCTCTTCACATTTGAAAAATATTCCTGACGAGTTATTTAGGCAGGCTGGGAACATCTTGGGAGGACATGTCACCATCTGAGTGGACACAATGGAGAATACCCTGGCCTCTCAGGAGACCGGACTGGCAGCACGGGCAGCAAGAGCCACAGGGAAGGCAGAGGCAGCACTCCTACGTGAAGACTTTCCGAGAGAACCAGCTCACAGCCTCCTCCTGCTCCCTCACACATGACAGCTGATGCTCACTGGCATAACCTCTGGCAGCCCCGCCCTAACGCCACCTTTCCACTCAGAAAATCGATCAGAATTTGAGTAAGAACACTCTAATGACAGGGATAACTCTGAATACAGGAGAAAGGTGAGTCTTGAAGCAGCTCCTAACTGGCTGTAGCACACCTCCCAACAGACTCTGACGCTCTGGTGTGCTAGAACACTAGCATTCACACCTGCCACTCAAAAACGATGTTTTCCAATGGAGTCAAGATTCTTTATGTTGACTGAACTGTTTAGAAGCAGAATACTTTTTTCTTCTCACGAGTATTTTTAGACCTTCACTCCTGCCAATCTGGCTCAAGTCACTGCAACCAGAATCACTCTTGTCCTGCCCTAACAAACATTTCCTGAAAACAGCTTTTTGTTAACGTCCTATAATCCTCCCTGGCTTCTAGAGGGAATTACAGAGTCACAGAATGTTACAGCTGGAAAGGGACTTAAAGCACCTAGAAAAATGCCCTCATTTCATAAATGAGTAAATCGAGCCTACAGAAATAAAGGGACTCATCCTTATAACAGCTAGTAACAAGCAGAGCCAGGAGGAGAACCAGGTCTCTTAATTTAAAGTCTGTCTAATACAAATGACACTATAACCACCTAAGAACGAAGAGGAATCACAGACTGAAGGAATAGGAGAATCGTCCTATTTAAGAAGTTCTAAGTGAAAAAGAACAGAGGCTGACATTTTAAAGAGGAAAAAGAAAGGTGTGGCAGTGCTAAACAGCTAAAGATGTGCTGTTGCCCTTGGAGAACTCTTAGACTTAAAAATAAATACAAAATTCAGCTAAACTTTCTGACAAAAAGCTGAGAAATTACGCGAGTTCAGAACCCTTGAAATACACATGGACTTTTACAATAAATATTTTTATTTAAGTGACTGAAATCATCTAGTAATTAATACTAGATCTAGAGAAGACAATCAGACATCCTGTGTAAGAAAATCTGAAAGCGCAAAGCAAAATTTTAGTCCATAACATTCCATTAGTGTGTTTTTGTTTACATAAAGCTCCTTTATGTAAGAAAACTTTTTGGCTTAAATAATCACTTGTACAAAACAAGGACCACTCCAAAGCTTTACAGTGTAAGAATTTATATTCTATTCCCAAGAGCACTCTTCCCTTGTTAAGATATACTGTGCATTGGTAAAAGAGAGATAAGCAAAACAAACACAGAAAAAAAGCCATCTTTGGTTTTCTTGTCAATGAAGTACTTTGCTAAAAGAAGATACTCCCACTCAGAGAAAGCACAAAATGAACACAGCCAAAAATACTAAAACCCACTCTGGTATTTCAACACTATGTTGTAACATCCAGACAATTTTCCAACTGTTCTTCAAGATGGAAAACTCAGATCCTGATGAAGATGGATCTGCGTCCCAACGCAAAAGTCAGATGGGCCAACTGGTCCAGAAAGCAGTTTTCTGCCGGGCACAGTAGCTCATGCCTGTAATCTCAGAACTTTGGGAGGCTGAGGTGAGTGGATTGCCTGAGCCTGCGGGTTCGAGACCCGCCTGGGCAACTTGGTGAGACCTCATCTCTACAATAAACAAAAAATTAGCTGGACATGTTGGCACGCACCTGTAATCCCAGCTACTTGGAAGGCTGGGACAGAAGGATCACACTACATGGTAAAAGCACAGAAGAGGTGTTGCAAAGGCTACAACAATTCAAGAGGACCCACAAGAACCAGGTAAAAACAGAGAAGATGCTTTGGATGATAGTAGTGGTAGTGAGTCTGTAACAGAGTGAGCTTACTTATTTTATTTTATTTTTTTTGAGTTGGAGTCTCACTCTGTCACCCAGACTGGATTGCGGTGGCCAGGAGCAGCCACCGCAGCTTCGACCTGCTGGGCTCCGGCGATCCTTCCGCCTCAGCCTTTCAAGCAGCTGGAACTACGGCGCGCGCTACCACGCCCGGCTAATTTTTTTTGATTTATTGTGGAGATGAGGTCTCGCCAAGTTGCCCAGGCGGGTCTCGAACCCGTGGGCTCAGGCAATCCACTCACCTCAGCCTCCCAAAGCACGGGATTACAGGCTGAGCCACCGAGCCCAGCTGAGCTTACTTATTTTAGACAAACTGAAAACATGACAGGAAGTGAGCAAAGAGAAAACTAAAGATTGGACAGTAGTTGGCCAAGGCAATCCATATAGCAGTAATTTCAGATTCAGTGCAGGGGCAGATTTTAACCTTAATAATGAGGTTACAACCTTAATAATGAGACCTGAATACAGAAAGCGAATATGCATCGTCAGCAAGACTTCCCAGAAGGCAAGTGGAAAACCCACCATCTGCGTCAACGCTTCCAAGGCCATCTAGCCCAGAATGAAATGCAACTGAAGCATTAATGACAGTCCTGCCTGCCAGAGGTCAGAGAAGACCAAGAAGTAGGAGCCCAGACCATTGGAGAACCAGAGTGATAACTGCAAAGAAGTTGCCTACAAATCCGTGGCACGAAAACTCAAAGATTTCATGATACTATGCCATGGCAGAATTTTGAGCAGCTTCTGATAAACGAGACTGAGAGCTTTTCTAGAACTCAGAAACACTGAGACAGCAAATAACAGTTGTAAAGTGGGCATCTTTTTGCAGCTTCTGGAACAAGGAATGCCCTTCTAGGAGAACGTTCTTCAGACAACCAGAAATGGTGAATCTGGGGCTCAGACTGTAGGATCCAACCATAGCCCTGGATGTCATAGCAAGAAGAATTCATCCTGGAGAGTATGTGCTGAGAGACAGCACCTCTGACGGAAATCAGTTAACATCTGAGATACCAAACAGCACTGTCACTTTAGAAAGTGAACAAGGAGGACTCAGACATATGTTTCACCTTCTGAGCAAGCAGGTGTGAGAACTTATTTCAGTACCAACAGAATTCCTGTTTGCAGACTTTTAAATACTGGTTTAAATAATACATATATCTGTAGCAGCTTGGAGAACATTAAGGCAGATCATAACAAGACTTGCTGACTCAAGGAACCTTATGGACAGTGTAGGGTACAGCTTTGGAAAGGTCCACTTTTGAGTGACACTTACACAAAGTAATAACCCTCACTGAATCACTGGTTCCTGAAGGAATGACTGAACTTCCTCCAATCAATTTCTGTTCTAGAATAAAAGGAAACATTCCCCCCCAAAGAAGAAGATATTCCCCAAACAAGTTTTCCTGTGTGCATACGGCTATGACAGGACTGCCAGACTCTGAAAGCCTTTTTACGCTCAAAATGGAGCATAAAAAGCTCCTAGCACTTGTAAACAGATGGCAAATGATTAGATGTATGAACCTCTAGGCATGAAGAAAGTGGTTAATTACAAGACTGTCTGTGTGTACGCAATCACTAAGTACCCTTTCTCTGTACATATACTTCTTAACAATAACTTTTTAAACATTAAAGTTTTTAGATCTTATAAACCAAGTTATACAAAACCTGCCTGTGATCTGAGAAGCTGCTGTCAGTATTATAACTGGATATATAACTTTGGCATATCAAAAATATTTACATTACAGCCAACACATATGATCAATGAATAGAAAATTTATAATGCACATATATTTACAACAAGATCCCTGGGCATCAGGGACTAAAAAAAGTTCACAAGAACGCAATAACCTTTGGCCTAGTCCCAGTTGGTCAAGCCTGGGACTCTTGCCAGACCTTGGCTATCAAAGCCCCAGCCTCAACCACCTGCCCACAGCACTGGAGAATCCCAGGCACACTTCCCAGGGGGCTCCGAGTTACTTTTGCTGCTGGGAAGGCAAAGCAGAGCATCACAGGAATGCTGTTTTCTCAAGACCACTCTGAGGACTAGGACGATCCGGCCTGTGGAGCAGCAATGAGATTCTTCCCAACAGGCACCTGCATGCCTGGTGCATCCCTGAGCACCTATCAAGAAGCCACTTGTTCCGTATCTTCCCTCTGCCGGGGCTGCACGTCTCAATCAGATGTGCCCTCTTCTGTCAGCGTGACCCCTTCTCTACCATGTGTAAGCCCAAACAAACGTGTGACCTACCTTGAGTAATCGTAAACAAAGAGTAAAGCAAATGCTGACTTGGGGGTTTCTTCTGAACTCTGAGGTAGTAAATACAAAATGAATTAATGAGTCTCTGCCTAGATTTCATCTTGAAGTGAGTTTCATGTGCCCTCACCATCATCCTGAATGTTCTGAGTCCTACCAAAATCTAAAGTGTGCTCCTGTAACCGAGGGCAGGACACGGGGGAAGCGGAACAGTCTGGACCCCTCTCTGCCAGGCCCTCATTTTGACGAAGCTGTGGTGACTCAAGGATCGGCTGCTGGGAAAAGGGAGGCTGAGGCAGGCCTAGTTCTCTGTTTACGTTCCACAGAGGCCGCTGCAGTGTTTCTGAGAAAGAAAGACAAGAATTATCAGTGGAGACTGGAAGCTCATTAATTTTCCAAAACTTAATGTCCTTTTAACCAAATTCTCAAAGAAATTAAGATGTTCAATGTTCCTGAATAAGGATGCTGTGATCAAACATACACTTGCCACCTTCTTAACCACAACAAAACAAAAATTGGAACATGGTCTTTCAAATCTGGAAGCTAACCTAATATTTACTGAGCTCATGCACTTTCACCTGTTATTTTAGTGCTTCTGCTGCTACAAAAAAAATTAAAAATAAAGCTCTGTAGACAGGTGGAAAAGAACTACAAGAGGTTTAACCTTGACTGTATTATAATGAAAGTTTCATGATATATGGCTAATAATCGTTGATTCTGTGCAGCCATGACATCTTTAAATATGTCACAAAATTGTCTTCCACCTTCTAGCATGTCAATAATTCAGCAAATAATAGCCAAAAGCAGCTGTATTAAATCAGATTATCTGTACTTTGGTTTTAAAAATATGCATTTCTCATTCTTACTTATTGTAGTGGTGAGCTATTTTCCCAAAGACTGATTATAGAAAGTTGTATTAACTTCATGGAGTACATTTTTGAAAAAGCTGGCCAGACATTATAGAAACAAACACCCAGAAACAAAAATAAAACCCATGTGAAAAGAAAGCTGGTCAGGTGCAGTTGCTCACGCCTATAATCCCAGCACTTTGGGGGCCAAGGTGAGAGGACTGCCTGAGTCCACGGGTTTGAGACCAGCCTGGGCAACCTGGCGAAACCTCATCTCTACAATAAGAAAAAAAAAAATAGCAAAGCTGTGCAAAGGAACTGAAATATTGCCTTTCTTGGCCAGCTGTGATGGCTCATTCCTATAATTCCAGCACTTTGGGACGCTGAGGCGAAAGGATTGCCTGAGCCCATGGGTTTGAGACCAGCCCAGGCAACTTGGCGAGACCTGATCTCTACAAAAAAAAATCCAAAAATTAGCCAGGCATGGTGGTACATGCCTGTAGTTCCAGCTACTTGGAAGGCTGAGGTGGAAGGATCGCCTGAGCCCAGCAGGTTGAGGCTGCGGTGGCCGTGAGCGTGCCGCTGCCTCCAGCCTGGGTGGCAGAGTGAGTCTCCGACTCAAAAAAAAAAAAAAGGAAAAGGAATCCAAGCCGGGGTAGGGTTTCTTCACTTTAACATGTACATGAGCAACCCAAGGATCTGGACGAAGTACAGATTCAGAGTCTAGAGTCCCCAGGACTGGGGAAGGACCGCAGCTCTGCCCCTCAACAAGCTCCTGGCGATGTTCTGGTCCACAGGTCGTGCTGAGAGCGAGAAGCGCGAGCACCCAGGTGAAGAATGAGCGGTGGGCGAGCACCAACTCTCGCAATTGCTGCTTCCTCACTTAAGGGCCAGGTTAAAAATCAAGGCGGCCGTAAGTTAGGAGGAAGAGCGACTGCGTTTTTGGCTCTTCTTAAATGCTTTCTACGTAGCTCTTCTGTGACATGCGAAACTGATCTAGGGTTGGTGCATTTCATTCATGAACACTGGATGTAAAGATAAGAGACCGACCTCAACAACAGGCTTTTCTCTGGCCTGTGCCCTTTTTTTTTTTTTTGAGTTGGAGTCTCACTCTGTCGCCCAGACTGGAGTGCAGTGGCCGCTCCCGGCCACCGCAGCCTCACCTGCTGGGCTCCGGCGATCCTTCCGCCTCAGCCTTCCGAGTAGCCGGAATTACAGGCACGCGCTACCACGCCCAGCTGATTTTTTGATT